TATTAGAACTTATAAATGAATTAAGTAGTAGGATACAAAACTAATATTCAGAAGTTGATTGCATTTCCATAGACCAATAACAACCTATCAGAAAGAGAAATTAAGAAAAGAATCCCATTTACAATTGCATCAAAAAGAAAAATACCTAGGAAAAAATTTTAACCTAAGGGGTCAAAGACTTGTACTTGGAAAATTATAAGACATTGAAGAAAAAATTAAAGAAGATAAAAGTAAATGGAATCATATAGTGTGCTCATGGATATGATGAATTAACAACATTAAAATGTCCATAATACCCAAAGCAATTTATAGATTCAATGCAATCCCTATCAAAATACCAATGGCATTTTTCACAGAACTAGTACAAATAATCCTAAAATTTATATGAAACCACAAAAGATCCCAAATAGCCACAGCAATCTTGAGAAAGAAGAATAAAGTTGGCGGTATCACAATACCTGATATCAAACTATACTACAAGGCTATAGTAATCAAAACAGCATGGTACTGGCATAAAAACAGACATAGATCAATGGAACAGAATAGAGAGCCCAGAAATAAACCCACACCTAAATGGTATTTAATCTATGACAAAGGAGGCAAGAATATACAATGGGGTAAAGACAGTCCACTCAATAAATGGTGCTGGGGAAACTGGGCAGATGCATGCAAAAAAAATGAAACTGGACCACCTTCTTACTCCATATTCAAGAATAAACTCAAAATGGATGAAAGACTTAAATATAAGGCCTGAAACCATAAAACTCCTAGAAGAAAACATAGGAGGCAGTAAACTCTCTGACATTGCTCTTAGTAATATATTTCTGATCTCCTTGGGCAAGGGAAACAAAAGAAAAAATAAACAAATGGGACTACATCAAACTAAAAAGTTTTTGCACAGCAAAGGAAACCATCAACAAAATGAAAAGACAACCTACTGAATTGCAGAAAACATTTGCCAGTGATACACCCAATAAGGGGTTAATATCCAAATTTTATAAAGAACTCAGGCAACTTAACACTAAAAAAACTAGCAATCTGATTTAAAAATGCGCAGAGGACCTGAACAGACAGTTCTCCAAAGAGGACGTACAGATGGCCAACAGACATATTAAAACATGTGCAACATCACTAATCATCATGCAAGTTAAAACCACAATGAGATATCACTTCACACCTATCAGAATGGCTGTCATCAATAAATTAACAAAGAAGTATTGGGGAGGACATGGAAAGAAGGGAGTCCTCGTGCACTGTTGGTGGGATTGCAGATTGGTGCAGCCACTATGGAAAACAGTATGGATGTTCTTCAAGAAATGAAAAATAGAACTACCATATGACCCAGCAATTCCACTTCTGGATATTTATTTGAAGAAATCCAAAACACGAATTTGAAGAGATATATGCATCTTATGTTCACTGCAGCATTATTTACAAGAGCCAAGATATAGAAGCAAGCTAAATGCCCATCAATAGACAACTGGATAAAGAAATTGTGGTACATATATATGATAGGATATTACTCAGCCATTAAAAAAATAGAAATCTTACCATTTGGACAACATGGACAGACCTAGAAGATATTATGCTAAGTGAAATAAGTCAGACAGAGAAAGACAAATGTCACATGATCCCACTTATATGCAGAATCTAAAGAACAAAATAAGTGAACAAACAAAACAGAAACAGACTCAAAGATGCAGGGAACATGTTGATGGTTGCCAGATGGAAGGGGTGTTAGGGGGGCGGCACGAAAAGGTGAAGGGAAGAAGAAGTACAAATTGGTAGTTATGAAATAATTATGGGGGTATAAAGTAAAGCATAGGAAATATAATCAATAATATGGTAATAACTATGTATAATGCCAGGCTGGTACTAGACTAGATGGGGGATCACTTTGTAAACTATATAAATATCTCACCACTACACTGTGAATCTAAAACTAATATTGAATGACAACTGCAATTAAAAATTGTTTCAAAGGCAGGGTGGGGGTGGGGGAAGCTAAAGCCCCAGACTCTTGGGGTCCAAGATGCCGCAGACTCCTCAGCCACATACCTCAGCGGTTGCCAGGAAGCCAGGTGCAGGCCGGGGTTGGGGTTGGGGGGTCAGGGTCTGGGCTCTGACCGGAACCGGGAGGCCAGATTGGGATCAGAGGGGTGGAGCCATGGCCTGGGGGCAGGGGTTCTGAGATCCGACTATGGTCAGGTGTGGGGAGGGGGTCCTGGTTCTGGTCTCGTGTAGGAGTGTCTTGATTCTGCCCATGATCCATCCTGAGTCTGGGGTACGGGTTCCTGGTCTGGAGGTTTGTGAATAGCTTCGGAGATCACAATTGTGAGTCGAAGGTCTTGGACCTCAGATTGGGGGGTGTTCTGAACTGGGATTCATCTCATTGAGGCTGTCATTAGGAGTCTTGGAAATTGGCACTCGGGGGTACGGACCCAGAGTCTGGATCCAGGCATATGGGGTTTTCGATCTTTGGGCATGGGTTTTGGGGATCTGCCTTGGTTCAGAGGTGGAGATTCTGAAAGTTGGGTCTGCTTCAGATCCCCATTTGCCTCCCCTCTTGCTGCTGGCTATCACCGTCCCCTTAGCCCCCAACCTCGCTTTTCAGAGAGGGTTGGAATGGATGAGGATTCCCTGCTTGATAGTATGTGGCCCTCTCTGGCCCACTTTCCCACTTTTTACTCTCTCTAGGGGGCATGTCCCTGAGGATGGAGTGGAGATCATGGGCCTAGTGATTCCCATCTCCAACGGTGAGATGAGATTTCACAAGCCCAGGATAGCACTAGCGTGAGGTGGGGGAGGGAGGTAGTCACAGGGCATGAGTGGTTTTATTCATTCAATTTTCCTAGAGATTCTAATGACCCCACCCTACCTCCCTGGCACTGAGAGCCCTTTCTTTGACAGCAGAAGGGCCTCAGTTCAAAGTTTCCATCCTGGCTCTGCTTCTTAACTTACTGTGTGATCTTGGGATCTTTACCTTTCTGAGCCTCAGTTGTCTCATCAATAAAATCGCACTCAACTACAATTTAGTAAGATCATGTTAAGAAAAAATAGCACCTGGTAATGATTTTGCAATATATAAGTGTATCAAATCAACAAGTTTTACACCTTAAACTTACAGAATGTTGTATGTCAATTATATTTCAATAAATTGGAAAAAATAGCACAGTGCTTGACATCATAGTATTGGCTCTAATTGTTATCTTTATCTTTCTTAAGGGGAACAAAATTAGTATCCTATTCTCTGGTATCTCAGTTCTTGCTAAGTTATGCGGTTGCCACTCTCCCACCTTGCTTCACTGGAGTTGGGGAAATCTCCCACTGTGACAGAAAGGATCTGTTTTCTATTACAGGTTTTTTTTTTTCTCTCTCAGCATGTAGAGAGATGGAGAAAAAAAAGGCGGGGGTGAGGGGGGAAGGTGAAGGGGAATAAGAGGTTCAAATTTCCAGGTATAAAACAAATAAGTCATGGGGATGTAATGTACAGCAGGGGTAATATTGTCAATAATATTGTGGTAGCATAGTATGATGTCAGATGGTTGCTGGTTATCATGGTGATCAATTCTCTAGGTATATAAATGTTGAATAACTCTGGTGCACACCTGAAACTAATATAATATTGTATGTCAGCTATATTTTAATAAAAAATATTTTAAAAAACATTTCTAGACTATATTAAAAACACTCCAACAAATGTGGAATATATAAAGAATACCTACAAATCAATCAGAAAAACAAAAAGCCTAATGGAAAAATGAAAGATAGAATAGATAATTCACAGAAAAGAAATAAAGAGCCAATAAACATAAAACAAATTGAGACGCCATTTTTTTGCAATTGGATTGGCAAAAATTAAAAAGGCTGATAACATTCACTGCTGGTAAGGGTATGGGGAAATGGTATTTCTCATACACTGCTCATATACTGGCCCTTTTGGAGGGGAATTTGGCACTACTAACATTTATTTTGTACATACCCTTCACCCCAGCAGGTCCAGCTACCTTAGAGAAACATTAGGTGACACATGGGCACAAATGGTTATTTATAAGAATTTTCATTACAGTATTGTTAGTTACACTAAAAAATTAGAAACAACCTAAATGTTAATCAGTAGGGAATGGTTAAACATATGATGGTACATCTATGCTATAGTCTACTATGCAGCAGGCAGATCTCAATGTATTGATGAAGTAGATCTCTAGGAACTGATGTTGAAAGATATCCAAGCAAGCTGTAGAACCATACACACTAAACAAAACTATGCCTCTATCTATTTGTCTACATATGGGTGTAAACACACCCATGAAAAAGAAATGAAAGGTATACATCAAACTGATAACAAAGGTTATCTTTGGGTAATCTTCCTCAGAGGGGGAAGAGTATTAATCAAAGGGAATTTTTGTTCTCTCTGTCTAGCTCTAATTTTTGGTCAATAGGATTAATTTTTTAAAATAATACTAAAACAAAAGCCCACATTAAAGTCAGCTGTACTATATAAAAAAAGTGCTTTATACACCGCAGTACCCAACAATTCTTAGTTTAAAAAAAAGGAGTCCTCTCTTACATGTAAAAAGCCCACCAAAAAGTCATTACATACCTTTGCAAGGAATGAAATGAATGGCACAGAACACAAATGATACAAGTAATGGAAGTAAAATAGGCAACAGGGAAAATAGTCACCAGTGGTGAAGGTTGGACAATGCTAAAAGTGAATGATAGCTAATTACAATAGCTACCAATTTTTGAAGGCCAGCCATGAGCAAGACACTGCTAGGTGCTCTGTACAAGCATTATCTCTAACTCTTACATTCAACCTGTGAGAGGTCCCATTTTACAGATTAAGAAAATATAGCTCAGAGAAATCAAGTATTCATCTTAAGGCCAAGTCTTTGCTCATGGCAGGCTGTCCTGGATTGCGATTAGGATTGGGATTGGGATTGACATTGGGGCTGGGGAGCCCTTCTGGCCTGGACTCGAATGCTCAGCTGCCTTACTATACTCTGCATCCTTGAAGCATGCTCCCAAGCTGTCCTGTTCATCCAGACTGGCATTCTCCTCCTCCTCATCGCTCTCAGTTCTCCAGTATGCTGGCCGTTTGATGGGCCGCTTCCCTGGGGTGCGCTGGGAAGCAGGACTGCCAGACACTGTGCCCAGCCCACTGCTGGAGCTCCCACCGCTTCGGTCCTGTGCCCCGGTCCACCAGGCCTGCAGGCTGGAGGTAGCTGGGGAGGATGATGAGGACTGCAGGTTGGCCATGCACAGCATGCCCTGAATGGCCTCCTGAGTGCTGGGAGAGGCGGGGGCCTCACTGCAAGAGACAGAAGAGATATGCTGAAGGAATTTCTCTAGTTGTCAGGGGAAAACAGTAATCAGAATAGTCAGGGAGGAGGGGTCAGGGTGGGAGGAAGGAGGAGAGACCCATCCTAAGTGAAAAAGCAGAAATCAAACTAAAGGATACAAATAGTATCTGTTTTCATGACAAGGCCAGTCCTTCTTGCCTCAAGTTTCTCGATAGACAGCAGGCAAGATGGCTAAAAGATGGGCGCACCTCCCTCCAAGTTCATTCATGCTGCACTCTTTCTTTCTTTTTTTTAACAAGGCCCAGTTCTCCTGCCATGCCTCTTCCAGCCCCTCTTCCAACTTCCAAAGAACCCAAAACTGATTCCCCTTGATGTCTATACAGCTTCTCTCTGTCAGATCTTAAGTTGTTTAGGACAGATTGCATGTCTACTTTATTCTTTCAGCTCAAATGCCCTGGCTAATTTTTTGTCCCTTTAAATGGCTCGATACATATCTGCTGATTGGCTGACCCAGCCCTTTGGGCAGAGGGTGGGGGTGTGCTGTTTGATCACCTGGAAAGGGCAGAATAAAGCTATTACTCACGTGAGGGCAGCATAGTCAGGTCCCCCCACCTGCCTGCTGGCCTTGAGCAGATCAAGAATTCCACCAGCTCCACTCCCTTTCCCAAGCTTGCCTTCGACACCTTCTACCATGTCCTCATCTGTTGTATAGTCCTCCTGTTGGGGAAAGAGGGTATCACCTCAGCTTCCCAGAGTTGGTCTGATAAGGCCCCCAAACAGGGTTGACAGTCTCACTCCTGATACTAATATCTTCTGAGCACCAAGTATATTCCAAATATTAAGCAGAATATTCATTCTTTCATCTTATTCTCCACAGCATCTTTGTGAGTTAAATATTATAACTTCCTAGAATGGCTATCATCAACAAGACAAATAATAAGTGTTGGAGAGGCTGTGGAGAAATAGGAATCCTCATACACTGCTGGTGGGAATGCAGATTGGTGCGGCCGCTATGGAAGGCAGTGTAGAGGTTCCTCAAAAAATTAAGAATAGAATTACCATATGACCCAGCAATCCCTCCCCTGGGTATCTACCCCAAAAATCTGAAGACATTTATCCATAAAGATATATGTGCTCCTATGTTCATTGCAGCTTTAGTTACAGTGGCCAAGACATGGAAACCAAAATGTCCTTCGATAGATGATTAGATAAAGAAGATGTGGTATATATACACACAATGGAATACTATCTGCCATAAAAGATGAAATAATGCCATTTGCAACAACATGGACGGATCTTAGATTATTATGCTAAGCGAAATAAGTCAGACAGAAAAAGTTGAGAATCATATGATTTCACTGACATGTGGTATATAAAACTGAAAACAACAAAGGAACAAGACAAACAAATGAAGAAACAGAAACTCATAGATACAGACACTAGTTTAGTGTTTACCAGAGGGTAAGGGGGAAGTGGGGTGGTAGATGAGGGTAAAAGGGATCAAATATATGGTGATGGAAGGAGAACTGACTGTGGGTGGTGAACACACAATGTGATATATAGATGATGTATTACAGAATTGTACACCTGGAACCTACGTAACTTTACTAACGATTGTCACCCCAGTAAACTTTAATAAAAAAAATTAAGTATTATAACTCCCATTTTACAAATAAGGAAACTAAGGCTCAGTGAAGTTAAACAAGTTGTGTAAGATCACAATCAGATATTTCAAATTAGATACTCTTTCTGCTACATCACACTACCTTTTATTCTACTCTGTATTAGAGGATTTTAAAAATATTTCAACTAAATTATAATCTTCCATTAATATGCTCAGCAGCACTTAGTATACAATCTTTCACTTAATCAATATCTTAGGAACTGAATGCATAGGATGTCTTATTTTCCCCCAACTAGAATGACAATCTGTATTCTGTCTCTGTAATCAGAATGAGCAGAAGACTAGACACAGGACAGGCTCCTACCTCAATGTCAAACTCAACTTCTCCTGGTTCACGAACTCTGTTGGGGTCAGAGCAAGGCTTTGCACGGGGCAGCTTTCGGGGAAATTCTAGAAAACAATGGAATGAACTTATCATGAAGCTAAGATTAGCATATGAGCCAAACATCCAGGGGAAAGAAAATAAGACTATAATTTTCCTCAAAGTAATGACCACAGACAACTAATTTAGGGAGTTTAGGAACTAGTTTATAAATAAATCTCTAGAGCAAAGGTTACATGGCAGCCTACAGAGCTGGTAAATCAGAAAGTCAGCAAGCTCAGGCCTAATGTCTGGAGTCTATCAAGGAGACCAAAAACAAATGGGGAATGAGCAAGGCAGGAAAGAGAAAACAGGTACACACTTGGTCTTATTATCAAGGTCGCCTTCTCCTTTCCCAGTCTCTCGTCAATCTGTAGTTCATCATCTGAATCCAAGCCAAATTCATCCTCCATCACCTGTTCTGCCACCATCCTAGCCTTGTCTGCCTTCTTCATGATCTTGGCTCGCCGAGACTTGGAAAAGGTCTTTACCCTCTTGGTACTAGAAAGAGAAGGAGAATATAAAAATAGTCATGCTCAATATTGTTATGGTGGCAATTCTCTCCAAATTAATCTACAGATTCAATGCAATCCCCATCAAAATCCATTTAGCGTTTTTGTAGAAATTAATAAGCTGATACTAAAATGTGTATGGGCATACAAAGGACTTAACATGGCCAAAACAATTCTGAAAAAGAACAAAGTTGGAGGACTTACACTATTCCATTGTAAAATTTACTAGAAAGCTACAGTAATCAAGGTAGTGTGATATTGGCATAAAGATAGACATACATCAATGGAACTGTGCTGAAAGTCTAGAACTAAACCCTTAAATTTATGGTCAACTGATTTCTGACAAAGGTGCTAAGACAATTCAGTGGGGAAAGGATGATCTTTTCAACAAATGGTGCTGAAATAACTGGACATCACATGCAAAGAAATAAATGTGGATTCTTACCTCACATCATACACAAAAATTAATTCCAAATGGATCATAGGTCTACAGGCAAAAGCTAAAACTATAATGCTTCTAGAAGAAAATATCTTTGTGACCCGGGATTAGGTAAAATTCAATACATTTGTGCTTCAGAAGACACCGTTAAGAAAATGAAAAGACAAGCCACAGACTGGGAATAAATATTTGCAGATTATTTCTCTGGAAAAGGATTTGAATCCAGAATATTTAAATAAATCTTAGAACTTTATAATAAGACAAACAAGCCAACTAAAAAAAAACGAGCAAAAGGTTTGAATAGACATTTCTTTAAAGGTGATATACAAATGGCCAATAAATAACCAACTGAGAAGATGCTCAACATCGTTAGTCATTAGGGAAATACAATTAAAATCACAATGAGATACCACTGTACATCCATTAGAATGGCTGTAATAAAAAAGACAGACAATAACAAGTGTTAACCAGTATATGGAAAAACTCATAATTGCTGGTGAGAATGTAAAATGGTACAAATATTTTGGAATAAATTTTGGCAGTTTTTAAAAAGTTAAATATAGAGTAACCATATGACCCAAAATCTCACTCCTATGTGAAAAATGAAAACATATGTCCACCCAAAAACTTTTATGTGAATGCTCATAGCACCATTATTCCTAACTGCCAAAGAGTGGAATCAATCCAAATGAACATCAACTAATGAAAAGATAAACAAAATGAATATCCATACAATAGAATACTATTCAGCAATAAAAAGTACCAATTAATAATACATACTACATCATGGATGAACCTCAAAAACATTATGTTGAGTGAAAGAAGCCAGACACAAAAGACCACATGTTGTATGACTCCATTTATATGAAATGTCTAGAATAGGCAAATCTATACAGACAGAAAGTAGATAGATTAGTGGTTGCTTGGGCCTCAGGAAGGGAACCTGGACTGACTATAAGTAGATATATGGGATCTTTTTGGGTGATAGAAATGTTCTAAAATTGGATTGTGGTGATGGTCACACATTCTTTAAATTTATTAAAAGTCATTTACTAGTACACTTAAAACGGGTTAATTGTACGGTTTGTAAATTTACCTCAAAAAAGCTGTTAAAAATATATAAAGCGTGAAAAAAAACTCACAAGTAGCTTAAATAATCCTGTTATACATGGTGAACAATATTAACCAGTACAAACTGCTAAAATAAACCTTACAGTAAAAGGAAACAAGTTTTTGGTAAATCAGAACACTTGATACATTCAGCAAATAGTCATCTGGAGAACTAACTTTCAGTGAATTGGTTGTCATTAAATTGGCGTTTTCTACCTCGTAGAATTGTTGGGAGGATTAAATGAGCTAATGCAGAGATTTACACATGGTTAGTGCCCAATGGTAGCTAACCTTATAATTAAGTTATTGGGGCCTCAGTTTCCACATTAGTAAAATAGAGATAGTAACACTGACCTTCAGGGTTGTCATGAGAACCAAATAAAATAAAAGTATATAAATAGCTAAGATAGAATCTGATACAGAGCAGCTCTGATACAGATACATCTGGAAATGGTATCTATTTATGCCCTGATCTTTTATTAACTTCTAATTATGAAAAATGTCAAACATATACAAAAATATAAAAGTGCAACGAATTCCCATGTACCTATCACCCAGTTAAGTTTCAGCAATTATCAACACACAGCCAATCTTGTTTCATCTACACCTCAGTCCTTGTAGAACAATGGATGATTTTGGAGAAAAGCCCAGACATAAGATCATCTGGTCTGTAAATATTTCTATACCCTGACTCTCTAGGTTCACTTAACAGCCACCTCTGGCAGCTGCAGGAGGTAATGGAAGCAGCACGAGAAAGACTGGTGGGGAAGGGGAAAATGTCTCATTGTTTCCTAAATAGCCATTACAGGTGGGACCTTTAGGACTCTCAATTTTCTCTTCCCCAGACACTAACCATGGGTTCTGGACAAAGGCAATGCTCAACAGTCTCTCTAATCCAGCGGTTCTCAACCTTCCTAATGCCGTGACCCCTTATACAATTCCTCATGTTGTGGTGACCCCCAACCATCAAATTATTTTCGTTGCTACTCTATAACTGTAATTTTGCTACTGTTATGAATCGTAATGTAAATATCTTTTTGTTTTCCGATGGTCTTAGGCGACCCCTGTGAAAGGATCGCTCGACCCCCAAAGGGGTCACGACCCACAGGTTGAGAACCGCTGCTCTAATCTTATGCTTTAGTAGCCAGGTTCTCAAATCCCAAGAATAGCTCTGCTGCTTTCAGAATCTGCCCTGCTCTCACACTTCCTTTTCCCTTATTTCCCAGACCGGTGGACCTATTATGCCCTCTCTTGGGATCTGAAGACAACCTTTTCCTACAAAAAGGCTATTAAGGTGTCCTTGTCACTTGTGTTCCCACACTATTCATACTCTGTACTTGGCTCTTGACTGATCCTGTCTCATGTTCTGAATGTCTAGATGATAACTCTTACTATCTTCTCCTGCCTTCCTACGTGTTTCAGGGTTTCCGATGACCCAGTCAGCTTCTGATCATACCCATGCCATCATCACTACCACCACTATCATCTTTCATTTTCAACTTCATCATTATATTTATGAGCTACCATTAATTAAGCATTTACTATGTGGCAGGCCCTGTGATAAGCACTTGACTTACAATATCTTATTTAGTCCTCCAACAACCCCAGGTAAGTTTTATCTATAGAATAGACATAATGAGGACACTGAGGCACACACAAGTTAGTTAACTTACCATGGTCACACATGAATACATGTCAGAGCTGGGATTCAAACTGGGGATTGTCTGATTCCCAAGCCCACGTTGTTTGTTGTGAATACTTTTATCTTATTAAAAATTTAATCTTATTAAGAAAAGGAATACATGCTCATTGTACAAAATTCAAATGCTACTGAAGTGAAAATTTCCTCTCCTGCCCCCCCATCCTACTTTCCAGAGATAACTACTGTTACAAGTTTGGTGTGACAAATATCAAATATATAACAAATATATTTATTTGTGTGAATGTGTATAAATATCTCTGGAAGGAAATCACTGACATTGGTTGTCGATGGGGAGGGGAATAGGGGAACAAGGGAACAGGGAGCGGTGGGAGCGAAATTTTGCATTATGTATTCTTTCACACTTTTTGAATTTTAAACTGTATAAATTAACTAAACCTTTTTGAAAAAATTAAATTAGAAATAAAGGGAAAAGTCTGTATGTTGCTTTTCTACACAAGAATACGTGTGCATGGAAGCATTTTTTAAATATTAAAATGGAACTATTCCTATATATTATTTTATAAACTGATTTTTTTCACTTAAGAATATATCTTGGCCAGCAGCCTGATTTTGAACTTCTAGCTTCCAGAACAGTAAGAGAATAAATTTCTGTTATTTATTTTTTTAAAAGAATATGTCTTAGACATCTCCCCATGTCAACAGATATTAAACTCATTTATTTTAACAGCTGCATGGTATTCTATTCTGTAGATGTACCATAATGTATTTATGAAACCCTTATTGATGAACATGTTTCCAATTCTATTCTAAACAATGATGCAGTGAACACTGAGCATTTCTCTTTACACACCTGTGCAAATATTTCTGCAAAATAAATTCCTAAAAATTGAGTCACAAAAGGTATATAAAAAACTAATGTGCTGAACCAGTATGTTATACTACCTCTTATACCTGCCAGTGGTTCTGAACCACTGACTTGCTGAAATTTCTAGAACTTATACAAGATTTTTCTCAGGATGGCCAATTATTATAGATTCCAGACCTCTCCCCTTACCCATCCTCAAATATTACCATGGTTCTCTGAACGAAGCAATGATATTGGATAATATAAAGATATTTCCCTAAATAGAGTCCTTCCCAGACCTGTGTTCCAGTCCCAGGTTCCAATTACATGCCCTGTGTTAGTGGCATGTTGCCACCAACAGTCCCAATATCTCTGTGCTACTTCTCTCAACCTCACCTGCCATTAGACATCAATAGGGCCAGCGGGCCCTCATTCCCATCAAGGTCCAAGTCGGGCGAGTCATCGTCTGAGTCATTCAAGCAGGTACCAGTGATGTTGAGCTGCAGAAGGAAGAGGCTCAGTTGTCATCTGTCTGGGACTCCCGTGTGAATCAGGATGGCCAGTTCCCTCCGGTTTCACTGGCTGAGTTCACTGTCAAAACCACCTGAACCAGTGTCTTCTGCTACACTGTCCCACCCTCCCACCCCCAAATGATCACAGGAGCAGGAGACTGAGAATGTATGGCTGGCTCAGGGAGAACCTATCAATCTTATAAAACATTTTCCCTAAAAAGACAGGGAAGCATCTTCACATGCCCATAGAGGGCACCACAATCTTGAAGCAAGGTGGAGCCCTGGAGGAGGGCTTTTCTCAAGGACCTGTTCAAGACTCCAACCTGACACTCATGTTTTCAAATTTCATTTGCACTCCAGCATTTCAAGATTCAGCTCATATCATGTTTTCTGAGAAGAGCTCCTGACCACTGCCCCTACCCAGATAGATTCATCCCCGCTCTGTGTCTCAGGTTCCCACACATACCCTTTGATTGTGGTAGCCACAACATTTCGTTGCACTCATTTGTTTTTATGCCTCTCTCTCTCACTAGCCTTCAGCCTCTTGAGGGTTACATCTACAGCACCTATCACAGTGCCCAGCATAGAGAAGGTCTCAATAAATGCACGTTAAATGAGTGGGACTGGTAGCCAAACCAGGGGCCCTAAGGGAGGTGGGAGAACAGGACAGTCTGTTCTTTTGATGCTTTTCTCTTCCAAGGGACCCAAGAGGGTTGAGCTGAACCCATGGGCCAGCACCCACCTTTGCTTTCTTGGAAGAGCCTGTCTTCAGTGCCTGATGATTGTGTATGTCCATGAGATTATAGCTCAATTGGCCAGCAGGCCCCAAGGCTGAGCTCTCCTTGCCCTTTTGCTCTGCCTTCTTGAAGAATTCCTTGGACTTCAGGTCTTTCTTCTTTGAACGACTTTTGGAGGGCAGTGACAGCCTGGGCATGGATACTGAAGTGGAATGGGTTGGCCTGGTTAAGGGAGTGGAGCCAGCTGGGAAGATCCTCTGTAGCCCAAAGATATTGCTCGTCTTCCCAACGTTCTGTTGGAAGATATCCTACAAGAGTATTAGTACATGAGGGGGTTAGAGCTTTACTCAAGGGTTCTCTCTATGCTAAGAGCAGAGGTCTGTTTATGGCACTGGTAGTACTGCCATGGAAGTGGCTTACAGACGCTCCACATATGCGCACCCTAGTTTTTGCACAATGAGTCATCAAGAATTTACAGGGTGGCATTTCTTTACCCAGCCACTGACAAGTAGGAAGACGAGCAGAGGAAAAGCCCCACTTACTCTCAAAACTGGAGAGAAAGGACTCCAGGAGCAGTTGACATGAGACAGAAAATAATTCAGTACTAAACTGTGTGGTTCCAACTCTAAGGACTGCAGGATTTGAGAGAAGGACAGAGGTTCTAGTTTTAATTCTGCTACTAGCTACTTCCGTGGCCTCAGGGAAGTGATCTGACCGCTCTAGGGCTCTGTTTACTCAGCTATAAAATTACAGAATTAGATTGCAAAGGTGGTTTTCAAAGATGCTCTGTGGCTTCTTTGAGTTTCTTGGGAGGAGCACTGGGGACTGGCAGGATGTGGAAGGCAAACAAGAGGAACAAGTGGAGCTCTAAGCCTCTCGCCTTCATCTTATTCATAGCAACTATGCTTTGACTGGTTGTATACATTTTGGATTTCCATGTAAAATCTCATTTGAAAGAAAGAATTCTATTGCTTTAAAATATTTAAAAGCCAATGGGCCAGATATGATCCATCTCTAAGTCCTCTTCCAACCAGCCCAAAGTTCTGCATATACAAAATTGGTTTAAGTGGGGAGAGCTAGTAAAGGGTTAGACCTTTTAACTACCTGAAGGATTCTGACAGATGGGAGTGAAAGAAAATGAGGTAGCAGGTGGACAATGTAAGCTATGCTGTAGGCAGTAAAACATGACACAAGTGGTGAGGCTAGAAGTCTAACTTCCCAGTAGCTCACTCTGACCATGCTTCAACATGGATTTAAAGCTTATATCCTGAATGCCAAATGGAACGTCATAGCTAAAGGAAAGTTTAAACTTCCTCAAGTCCAGTTCTCCTCTGGTGCCTCTGTTACTTCGCCAGCCCACACTGAGATCTGTCTTTGCTGCAAAATCTATTAATAACAATGGCTCTCATTTATTGAGTACTTACTCTGCCAGGCACTGTGCTAGGGGCTCTACATGCATTAGCTCTTAATCTGAACCATCTCTCTAATGTGGAGTGATCCCCACTTTACAGATAAGAATACTGAGGCTCTGAAAGGCTTGCAAGTGACAGAGCAGGAACTAGAATCCAAGTTTCTCTGAGTCTCTTACCACTACACCTTACTGCCTCGTGGTATATGCCACCTGTTGAAACATCTTCAACCTGAGGAGAACGGTCACTTTGTAGAATGCAGAGACTAAGTCAAAATATTAATAACAACAACTACTATGACCTCCACCACCCACCACCACCATGACCAACCATCAGAATTCACAGAGCACCTACTGTGTGCCAAGCACTATACTTAATGCTCAACGTGTATTACCTTATTTAATCCTTTTAACAATCCCTGAGTAGGTATAATTATCCCCACTTTAGAGATGAGATAACTGAGGCTCAGACAGGTTAACTTGGCTCAGGATCCTCTACTAGACTGTGAGTTCTTTGTGGGCAGGCATTGTATTATACATCCAAAGCACCTAGCCCAATGTGTGTCACACCAAGGCACATAATTATTTGAATGAATAAGTGAATCAATGAATTGGGTCCTTGGTGGGGTCTTCTCAACCCTTCCCCTGAGCTCTAATGTCAACTGAAGAGGTCTGACCTTCCACTTGAGCCTTGAGCCCTTCCCAAACGCCTCCCCTGCTCCCACACTTCTTACTTCCACCAGGCGGATCTCCCTAGCCAGATCTTTAATGAGCTGTACAGTCCGCACTGTCTCCGGGATCTCATCCTCGTGGTCTGGCAGAGCCTGTCAAACAAAAGGCATGAGGAATTGACCCACATATAAGGGTACCATGGCAATTCAATGGAGAAAGGGTAGTCTCTTTAACAAATGGCACTGGACTGATTAGATATCCATATGCAAAAAAAGAACCTCAATGCATATCTTGCACCAGACACACACACAAACTTAAAATGGACCACAGAACTAAAAGTCTAATCTAAAATTATAAACCAGATAGAAGAAAACAAAGGAGAAAATCTTTGTGACCTTGGGTTAGGCAAAGATTTCTTAGGACACAAAAAGCATGAACCATAATAGAAAAAATAGAAAAAAAACTCCGATAAATTGGACTTAATAAAAAAGAAAAGCTTCTCTTGGAAAAACACTGTTAAAACACACCACAGACTCACAGAAAATATATGCAAAAATATATCTGCTAAAGGACAGTGTCAAGAGGTGTGAGGAACTCAGTTGAGGGCTTGGACCATACCCCTCAAAAGATCCCTGAGGACATCCCAGCCTCTCCACTTATGAGGACAGGACTCACTGCTGAGCAGCGAGAGGCCCACAGCTAGCTCAACAGCAACCCAGGGAAAAACCTGTTGGTTGTCCTCTTTTAATTTGTTAGCAATCTTTTTGAGTCCTCAAGATTTACATGTTTATGTACAAAGATATCTCAGCTTTTCCTTTGTGATTTCTTCCATCAATTTTCACTTCTATATCCAGAGGATAAAACTTCCTCAGCATTTACTCCTTGTTTCCCATGGCTTTGTTTTCTTTTTCTTTAACTCTTTTAATCTCTCTGGAATTTATTTCGGTGGCTAGGCAAGGGTGGGGCCTAGAACCCATGTGACCCTGCTGATAAACTTAACAGCTCCCTCCTCTTAGCCCAGGGGCTCTGGAAAGGTGAGGGAACAAATGCCTCCCATGGAGGTTGCCTTCACTTCACAAAAGACTTCTTCCATAAGTGTGGGCTCCTCAGATCTGTGTCCTACTCTCCACCAGCTCCCTTTGGCCACACTGTTTGGGCCATCCCTTGGTCCCTGGAGCCATCCTGGTCCAGGGCATGAGTGCTTAGGACCCACCCTCTTCCTCCCCTTTTAGTGTTCCTGGCACAGAGTCACTTCATGGAGGTGTCAGAGATAAATCTCAAGGTAGTCACACCTGAAAGATGTAAAGAAATTGAATCTCAGGCTAAAGACCAGGTATAGGTGAGTCTGAGGAGCAAGAGAAGACACAAAACATGAAGTTCAAGGATATGTGAGGGGAAGGTTGGCAACAGGGAAAAGGAGAGATCACGCAAGTCAAGCCTGCAGTGGCTGAAAGGTTTCCTTAACCTTTTTACTGCATTAATTGATTTCAAGTTTGTTCTCCAAAATGTGTCAAAAATCCACAGAAAATAATTACAGTATTTATATTTTTACGTAAATACAGCTAAGGTGCTACATTTTATTAAAATAAATGATTAAAGTATAAAAATTTCCTATTCTTATTCATTCTTGAAAAACACAAAAGTATAGAAAAATGTACATCTGCTTTCCTAAACTTCCTTTCTAGAACACTGAGCTTGTGGGGTAAAGTTGAAAGCCATAGTCAGCAGCATGGAAACATTATTCAACTATACATGAACATCACAGCGAAAATGTTAAACCACTGTATGCAGGGGAAGGAGTCTAGAAAGACTATCACAAGTATAAAACAATATATTGATATTTCTTCTTCTATTTTTTGTGTTTCTTTAAATTGGCTTTTAAAAAAAATCAACATTTTGAGTAGGTAATCCATTCACATAGTTCAAAAATCAAGCAATATAAAAAGACATATATTGAAACGCTTCAATACATATCTGTCCCTGCCATCAGCCCCATTTAGGCCACCCCCACATGTAATCACTTTTATTAGTTTCTTCTGCATCCCTTCAGATTGTGTCTTCACATATAAATATAATTCTTGTTTTCCCCATTTTTACACATAACGTAATATACTATACACACAGTTGTACACCTATACTTAAATTCTGTAGATTTTTCCAAGTCAGTACATAGACAGCTTTCTTAATATCTTTTATAGCTGTTTAGTATTTAACTGGATAGATGGATATTGATATATTTCTAAAAAGCCATTTTGAGGGCCAGCCGAGTGATCCAGTTAGTTAAGAGCTCGCTCAAGAGTACACGCTCTGGGCCGGCCGAGTGGCACATTGATTAAGAACTGGCTTGGGATGCCGGAGGGCCCCGGTTAGGATCCAACACATGAGGGCCAGTGACACTGCCCTCTACAGCTAAGATGCTGAACAACAGCTCAACCTGGAGCTGGGCTGCCATGAGTTGCCAGGGACAGCATAGTCTGCAGCCCCTGCTGCAGTGGGTTGCCATGGGCTACCATGTGTAGCCAGCAGCCAGCGTGAGTGGCCATCCAGAAGCCAGCGACTGATCTGCCTCACCCGGGAAGAGCGCAATGATGGTGCCAGCTTGGGCCAGTGAAGCGACATCCTCCACAACTAGACTGAAGAACAAAACGACAGCAACTTGTCTGTTCCCCTCTCCCAATCCCCCAATTAAAAAAAAAACTTAAAAAAAATCAATAAAATATAAAAAAAAAGAAAGAGTGCAAGCTCTGAGCAACAGCGGTTCGAGTCCCGGCCAGAGCTGCGCTGCCAACAGGTGGCAGGATGGCTCAGCTAAAAAAAAAAAATTTAAAAATAAATAAATAAATGAAAAGCCATTTTAGCAGTTGCATCAAGAGTTTTACATTTTTTCAAATACTTTGATCCAGTAATTGCTCTTCTAGGATTCTATCCTGAAGAAGCAATCAAGAGATAAGAGAGGGCTGGCCGAGTGGCGCATTGGTTAAGAGCTGGCTTGGGACGCCAGCTCTGAGCAGCAGTGCCCAGGTTCGGATCCCACATGAGGCCAGTGACACTGCCCTCTACAGCTAAGATGGTGAACAACAGCTCGACCTAGACCTGGGCTCCCGTGAGTCACCAGTGATGGCGTAGGCTTCAGCCCCTGCTGCAGTGGGTTGCCATAAACTACCGTGTGTGGCCCGCAGCTGGCATGAGTTGCCAAGAGCCGCCAGGAGCAGCCATCCAGGCCCGGAGACCCATCTGCCTCACCCGGGAAGAGTGCAATGATAATACCAACATGGGCCAGTGAAGCGACGTCCTCCACAACTAGACTGAAGAACAAAAGGACAGCAACTTGTGTGTTCCCCTTCCCCAATTCCCCAACGCTGTTCCTGTCCTCCAATTCCCCAATAAAATCTTTTTTTTTAAATTAAGGGGCCGGCCGAGTGGTACGATGGTTAAGAACTGGCTTGGGATGCCAGAGGGCCCCGGTTCGGATCCAACACATGAGGGCCAGTGACACTGCCCTCCACAGCTAAGATGCTGAACAACAGCTCAACCTGGAGCTGGGCTGCGATGAGTTGCCGGCGACGGCGTAAGCTGCAGCCCCTTGTGGCAATAGGTGGCCATGGGCTACCGTGTGTAGCCAGCAGCCAGCGTGAGCGGCCAGCAGCCACAGTGAGGGGCTGTCTAGAAGCCAGCGACTAATCTGTCTCACCCAGGAAGAGCGCAATGATGGTGCCAACTTGGGCCAGTGAAGCAACGTCCTCCACAACTAGACTGAAGAACAAAACGACAGCAACTTGTCTGTTCCCCTTCCCCCAATTCCCCAATAAAAATCTTTAAAAAAATTTTTTTTAATTAAAAAATAAAAAAGAGATAAAGGACAAAGACTGATGCAAACAGATAGTCACTGCTTGATTTTCTATAACTACCCGCAAATGAATAAATAAAAAGGAAGCAGCAACAAACAAGTGGTTAGGTAAGGATAGTACATCCTTGGAAGAGAATATCATGTAACTATTAAATGTTTATGGAGAACTTCGGTGACACAGAAAAATTAAGATAAACTAACCAATTCAGATACAAAATTGTATGTACAGGGTGACATCAATTATGTTTTTAAATGCATATAAGAAAGACCAGAAGAAAATATACTCAAGTGTTAATGTTAATTCCTTGAGTGTTAAAATTACAGGTTATATTTTTCCTTCTTTATATTCTTCTGTATTTTTCTAATTCTCTAGAGTAAGTATGTATTAATTTTTATAATCAGAAAGTAAAATTTGAAAACATAATTCAAGTAGTCCTAGCCCAGTCCTCCACTCTAACACCAGGAACCCACAAGCCTCCTTGGTCTCTTCTGCCTCTCCAGAGCATCTACCCAAAGCCAGACCCTACGGAGGGCAGAAGAACTCTAGAGGAGGTAGGGAAATAAGTATATTTACTTCTTTCTTTGTCCAGGCTCTAAAGGCCAAGTTCAGGGCTTTGCCACCGTGAACCAGGTAGGAGGCAGGGTGTCTCCTGTTCTCTCGCAAACCTAAAAGGTGAAAGAGGAAGGCAGAATGTCAACAAAGCCAGGCAGGGAAGTGAGAAACTTGTTACTTTTTTCAGGCAACCAGAGAAAATGCTCAAGGTTCTAAACACAACTCCAGGTATCAGTTCTTATAAAAGTGTGCATTTAATGAGTACCTACTATGTGCCAGGCATTCGACATCTACTATCTCATTTAATCCTTATACCCCCACCCTGTAAGCCAGGTATCATTATCTTCATTTTATAGTTCAGGAAACTGAGGTTCAGAGAGGCAAAGAGACTTAACCAAGGGCACACACCTAGTAAAGTGCCAAAGTCAAGACTGAAATCATGTCCATCTGAATCCAAGGTCTGTGCAATTCCCACCACATTACTCTTCCTTTTGGGTTTCAAATGCAACACTCAGGAGGACCATGACTGCCATTTGCACAGATGCGAAGGGCCATTAATGCCCTTGTTCTAAGTTACTCCAGGGGGAGGTTATGACAGTCAATCAGATTTAGACTCAATAAAGAATTTTCTACTGAACTGAGTTGTTCAGAACAGGTAATAAGGAGCAGTCAACCACCCTCTGATTGAACACTTAAGTGACAGTCTGTCTAAGTGGCAGAATACGGGCTTCAGGTATTGGGTAAGAGACTGTACTCAATGGCCTCTGAGAGTCTTTGTAACTCTGAGATATTGATTCCCTCTTGCCAAGTCATCTTGAAGAATCTCATGTCTGAGCAAAGGAGCCACTCTATTTAGAGCAGACCAGGCAAGAGGAAACCCTGCAGGTTGGCTTCCACCTGGGCTGATACCCAGAACCAACCCAATGATGCCAGGATGGTCAGGACTGGGCCTTGTCCCTACGGGAAGCACATCCAGGAAACTCTGAGACTATTCACATTGAGTTTCTTACTTTAATTGTTAGGAAATAGGGATAATTGCATTGTGGTCCAATTTACTCAGCCACTTTTGCTAAATCAAAAAGTTAAAATATATGCTCTACCCTACATTATACTTAGTAAAAAAGCCAATCACAAAAGATCACATGCTGCATGATTCCAGTTTTATAGCATTCTTGAAATGACATAATTATAGAGATGGAAAATAGATCAGTGGTTTCCAGAAGTTATGGATAGTGCAGGGGGAGAGGGCAGGTGATATTCTATGTGGGTAGCACTGGGGACATAGATCTCTGAGGTGAGGGACTAGTACCGTGTGTTGAGATGATTGTTATGTGCACACACATGCACACATACATGCTCAGGGGATCAAGGGGAAAGGGACAGTTGGCAAAGGGCTTCATACCTCGAAAGATGTCCAGGATGTGCTTTCCCACATACCAACAGATGGTCTCAAAATTGGGGAACTTGAAGAGGTCTGCTGTGCTCAGCCGCTTTTCAATCTCATAGGCTCTGGAGGAAGTAGGCACAACAATAACAATTATCACAAGGATCCCGTTTACTGAGCACCTACTATGTATCAGATATTGTTCTGGATGCTTTATATCCATTATCTCTAATCCTCACAACTACCCTGTAAGACCCTACTTTATGGGTTAGGAAACCTGGGCTTAAAGCTTATGTGACTTGTCCAAAGTCACATAACTACTAAGTGAGGAAGAGGTATTCACCCTCAGACTGAATATCATCAGGAACCAGTATCCATTCCTTTCTGATCATCTTGCCTCCTTCTATGCTGCACTCCTCAATATACAGGAGAACCCAAGGACTCTAGCAGATGGGAATGGCCAATTCGGGATCACCACAGCCTCAGGACTCACTTGAGCTGCATTTCGATGTTAAGGCTGTGTAAGAAGTTCCCTCCAAAGGCAAGGCAGTCCACGGGAGTCAGCACAGCATGGATCCATCCTGCAGTGTAACAAGGCAAAATCAGAGCTGGAAGAGGGCCTTTCTTCCTCTGGACATCTCTGCTGCCCACTCAGCTCAAACACAACTCAGAGCAGTCAGGCTGGCAGTGACTCAGAACATTCTAAGTGCCTCTGACTCAGAACATTCTAGGTCCCTCCATTTTTCCAATACCCATCCTGTCCAAGTCTGCCATCATTATAACCCTGAACTGGACCAACCTACGGGGTCAATAAACTCCCACTTCCCTCTTGTCCACTTCAAAATATCTTTGTTGCCTCAACCATCCTCTCTCTTGTCCCTAAGAAGGGCATTATCTCCTTGCCATGACTACCCCTTCTAACTCTGCCCAAGATAAAAAAAAGAGTGTTTGTGTTAGACAGATCTGGGTCCAAATTCTGTTGTATTATAGCTAAATATCCACTTCACAGGTTGGTTGTAAAGCATGCACCTAAGTCGGAACTCTATTCGCCTTGCCCTTAGTCCTACCCTGCCTTCTGGGACCTTCTGATTTTTCTTCTTAAATCTCTCTCATATTCACCTTCTCCATCCATCCATCCTACCAATGCTTTGCTCAGACCCCTCATTATCTCTCATGGAGGCTACTTACAATAGCCTCCAAACTGGCTCCTCTACACCATTGGTTTTGAAAGTATGGTCCAGGGAATCCTGGGGGTCCCTGAGACCCTTCCAGAGCATATCTGAGGTCAAAACTATGCTCATAATAATACTAAGATGTTATTTTGTCTTTTTCACCCTCATTCTCTCACAGGTGTACAGTGGAATTTTCCAGAGGGTACATGATGTGATATCGCGACATGCAGAAGCAGATTTGAGGATCCAGTTTTTTTCTATTAACCCACACATTAAAAAGATTTGCAAAAATGTAAATGTCAATCTTCTCACTAAATTTTTTTTATTTGGAAATAGTTCTTTTTCTTTTTCTTTTTTTAAAGAAATTTTATTGGGGAACAGTGTGTTTTTCCAGGACCCATCAGCTCCAAGTCAAGTAGTTGTCTTCAATCTAGTTGTGGAGGGCACAGCTCCTTGGCCCATGTGGGAATCGGACCGGCAACCTTGGTGTTATGAGCCTGTGCTCTAACCACCTGAGCTAACCGGCCATTCCAAAAGTAGTTATTTTTCATAAAAATTGTTACACTAATATGCAATGAGTTTATTAAGGTTATTTTTCAATTGATTAATAAATATTTTTTAAATTTCTGTTATAATTTATAATATGGCAAATATTAATAAATATAAACAAAAAAATAAAAGCTCTTTTGGGTCCTCAATAATATTTAAAAGTACAAAGGGGTCCTGAGTCCAAAGTCCTTGTTTGCAAACCATGCTCAACACCAACCTCAGCCTCCAAAATCTATCTTCCACATCCCAACACAAAAGTATTATATCTACAATACAAATCTACACATATCATCCCCTGCTTGCAACTCTTCAATGAAATGTCCATCTATAGGAGAATGGATAAATTGTTGTATACTCATACAGTGGAATACTGTAAAGCAAGTAAAATGAATGAACTGCAGCTACATGTATCAACATGAATCTCACAATCATAATGTTCAGAGAAAAATGCAAGTTGACAATAATACATCTCTAATATGATGATTCCATTTATATAACACTCAAAAATATGTAAAACAATTGCATAATAAGACATGCTAGATAATAAAGGGATAAAAATGCATGAGAATTATAATCACCAATTTCAGGACAATAGCTGGCTCTGAGAGGGAAAAACGGGAATGTAATTGAGAAGAGGTACACAGGAGGCTTCAAACATATTTGTAATACTTTATATTTTAGGTTAGGAACACATAAATATTCATTATTCTTTGTAACTTTTGTTACATCTGAAATAGTTCATTAGAAATTAATACGAACTTTTAATGGTCTGCAGTCACCTATGGGGTAAGTTCAGCCTGCCTACCTTTTCAGCTTCATCTATCTGATCCCAGCCCCTGATTTTAGGGTCCAGTATACATAAACTGCTTCACACAACCTTGCTCTCTTTGCTTATGCTTTCCCTACGTCTGAGATGTCTTTCTTTCCTTGGCCAGTCCCTACTTACCCTTCAGGTGTCACTCTTCTGAGAAGATTTTCACAAACCTCTGTGTAGACTAAATGCTCTTCTCTGTGTTCCCAAAACTTCTGGTGAATACCTTTATTGTACCTATTGGAACATTATACTGAAATGGCCTATTAAACTTTTGTCCCTAGCACCTAGCCCAATGCTGGGGCAGACAAAGACACTCAATTCTTGTACAACTAAGTAGACTGTACCAGTTTATGGGAATTTCTACCAAGGTGCAAATTAACCCAACTCAAATCTCTGTCAGGAAAATTCAGTTCACCAAACAGTTTCTAGGTGTCCACTGTAGAAAAGGCATTATGCTTGGGAATATAAAACTATAAAAGAGGGCTGGCCGAGTGACGCAATGGTTAAGAGCTGGCCAGGGGACCCCGGTTTGGATCCCACATATGAGGGCCAGTGACACTGCCCTCTACAGCTAAGATGCTGAACAACAGCTCAACCTGGAGCTGGGCTGCTGTGAGTTGCCGGCGACAGTGTAGGCTGCAGCCCCTGTGGCAGTGGGTTGCCATGGGCTACCATGTGTAGCCAGCAGCCAGCGTGAGCAGCCATCAGCCACAGTGAGCGACCGTCCAGAAGTCGGTGACTGATCTGCCTCGCCTGGGAAGAGTGCAATGATGGTGCCAACTTGGGCCAGTGAGGCAACGTCCTCCACAACTAGACTGAAGAACCAAAAAAACGACAGCAACTTGTCTGTTCCCCTTCCCGCAATTCCCCAGCACTGTTCGATCCCCCCAATTCCCCAATAAAAAAATCTTAAAAAAAAAGATAAGTGAAAACAAACAAACAAAACTATAAAAGAGAAAAGCAGATGGGTATGGGGGTTGGGGTGACTTGCCTCACCATATATTAAATATTCAACAAATCCAACCAATGTAACCAAATCAATATGGTATTGATATGTGAATAAAGAAACAGGCCTGTGCAACAGAAAAGAAAATCCAGAATTATACAATATAATGTTAAATAAAGATGTTAGAATTATATAACAAGAATTTTAAAGGAGTCATCATAAAACTACTTTAATGAACAATTACAAACATACTTGAAAAAAGAAACAGAAAGAGAAAATATAAATAAGAAACAACTGGAAATTTTAGAACTGAAAAATACTGTATCTGAAATAAGTAACGCAATGGATGGACTCGACAGAAGAATGGAGATAATGGAGCAAAGAATTAGAGAACTTGAAAATAGAACAATATGAAGTGCCCAATATGAACAAGAGAGAGGAAAGAGGCTGACAGAAAAATAAATGCAGGGACCTGGGACTACAACAAAATATGTAACATTCATATAATCAGAGACCCTGAAGAAGAGAAGTTAAAGTGTGGGGTTGAAAAAGTATTTGAGGAAATAATGGCTAAAGATATCAACCTACACATTCAAGAACCTCAGTGAACACATACAGTATAAACCAAAGAAATCCAAGCAAAGACACTGTTAAAAACTAAAGAAAAAATATTGAAAGTAGCAAAACATGACACATACAGGGGAGAAACAATTTGAATGACAGTTGAAATCTCATCAGAAACCATGGAGGCTAGAAGGAAGCAGCACAACATTCTTCAAATACTAAACGGAAAGAACTATTGCGGCAGAATTCTATATCCAGCAAAAATATCCTTTAGAATTGAAAGGGAAATCAAGACATTACAGATAAAGGAAAACTAAGAGAATCTGTTGCCAGCAGACCTACCCTGAAACTGTAAACACAGAGGAAATGATAAAAGAAGAAATCTTAGAATACTCGTAGGAAGAAAGAGGAGTAAAAATATAGGTAAATACAATAGACTTTCCTTCTCTTGGGTATTCTAAATTATGTTTGACACTTGAAACAAAAATTAAAACACTATGTGACATGGTTCTCAATGTACAGAGGAAACATTTAAGAAATACATTATAGGGCCGGCCGAGTGGCGCATTGGTTAAGAGCTGGCTTGGGACACCAGAGGGCCCCGGTTCGGATCCCACATATGAGGGCCAGTGACACTGCCCTCCACAGCTAAGATGCTGAACAACAGCTCAACCTGGAGCTGGGTTGCTGTGAGTCGCCGGTGATGGCGTAGTCTGCAGCCCCTGCTGCAGAGGGTTGCCATGGGCTACCATGTGTAGCCAGCAGCCAGCGTGAGTGGCCAGCAGTCGCTGTGAGCGGCCGTCCAGAAGCCGGCGACTGATCTGCCTCACCCGGGAAGAGCGCAATGATGGTGCCAACTTGGGCCAGTGAAGCAACATCCTCCACAACTAGACTGAAGAACAAAACGACAGCAGCTTGTCTGTTCCCCTTCCCCCAATTCCCCAGCGCTGTTCCCATCCCCCCAATTCCCCAATAAAAATCTTTAAAAAAAAAAAGAAATACATTATAAATGGGAAGGGTAAAGGCACATGAACAGAAGGAAGGTTCCAACACTTCCCTCAAACTGGTAAAATGTCAATTAAAATGTCAACACCTGTAGACTGTGATAAAGATAGATATAGATACATAAAATAAAACTAGAGTAACCACAAAAACCTATACAAAAACTGAAGCTATAAATTCATATAGAAATTCAAGGAGCCCAGAATAGCCATAACAATCTTGAAAAAGAAAAACAAATTTGGAGGGCTAACACGTCCTGATTTTAAAACTTACTACAAAGGTACAATAATTGAGACAGTGTGATACTGTCATAAGGGTAGACATATAAAACAACAGAATATAATTTAAAGTGCAGAAATAAACCAATACATCTATGGTCTTTTGATTTTTTTACAAAGGTGTCAAGATAATTCTATAGGGAAAGAGTAATCTTTTCAAGTAGTTCTGGGACAACTGGACATCCACATGCCAAAGGATGAAATTAGACCCTTACCTCACACCATGTACAAAAATTAAGTTGATGTGAATGAAAGACCTAAATGTAAGAACTAAAACTATAAAACTCTTAGAAGAAAACACAAGTATAAATCTTCACAACTTTGAATTAGGCAATGGTCTCTTAGATATGGCACCAAAAATAGCAGCAAACAAAAAATTGATAAACTGGACTTCGTGCTTCACAGGACACTATCAAGAAAGTGAAAAAGACAACTGTCAGAATGAGAGAAAATATTTGCAAATCATATATCTGATAAAGGTCTAATATCCAAAATATATAAAGAATTCATACAATTCACAATACAAAAACAAATTACCAAATTAAAGAATGGGCAAAGGTTTTAAATAGACATTTCTAAAAAAAAATACAAATGTCCAATAAGTACATGGGAAGATGCTCAGCATCAATAGTCATTAGGGAAACACAAATTAAAATCTCAGTGTATACCACTTCACATCTGCTAGGATGGCTATAATCATAAAGACAGACAAGAACAAGTAACGGGGAGGTTGTAGAAATATTGAGACCCTCATAAATTGCTGGTGGGAATGTAAAATGATGCAGCTGCTTTAGAAAGCAGTTTGGCAGTTCCTCAAGAAGTTAAAGAGTTATATGATTCAGCAAATCCTCTCCTAGGTATATACCCAAGAGAACTGAAAATGTATGTTAACATAATAACTTGCACATAAATGTTCATAGCAGCATTATTCATAATAGCGAAAAAGTAAAAACAATCCAAATGACTATAAAATGATGAATGGAAAAGCAAAATGTGGCATGCCCATACAGTGGGCTATTATTCAGCCATTTAAAGAATGAAGTGCTGACACATGTTATAACATGGATGAACCTTGGAAAGAGTATGCTGAGTGAAAGAAGCCAGACACAAAAGACCACATATTGTATGACTCCATTTATATGAAATATTCAGAATAGGCCAATCCATATACAAAGAAAGGTACAAAAGTGGTTGACAGAAACTGGGAGGACGAAGGAATGGGGGGTGACTAATAAACACAGGGTTTCTTTTTAAAGTGAGGAAAATTTTCTGGTGTTAGATAGCCGTGATGGGTGCACAACTTTGTGACTATTTAGAAAAAAACTGAACTGCACCCCTTAACATCGTTAAGTTTTATGGTATGTGAACTGTATCTCAATTTTTAAAGCATATTTAACTAAATGAAAATACAACATGTCAAAATATGTGACATAGCTAAATCAGTACTGAGGGGGAAACTGATAGGACTAAATGCTTACATTAGAGAAGAAGGAAAATCTAAAATAAATAATCTAAGCTCCTGTCTCGACTGGAACAAGGAGAGCAAAATTAACCTAAAGCAAGCAGAGGGAAGAAAAAACAAAGATAAAAGCAGAAATCAATGAAATTGAAAACAGAAAGACAATAGAGAAAATCAATGAAACAAAAAGTATTTCCTCGGGGTGGCTGGTTAGCTCAGTTGGTTAGAGGGCAGTGCTCATAACACCAAGGTTGCCGGTTCAATCCCCACATGGGCCACTGAGATGCACCCTCCACAACTAGATTGAAGGCAACTACTTGACTTGGAGCTGATGGGTCCTGGAAAAACACAGTTCCCCAATCAAAAAAATTTAAAAATATTTTCCTAAAAAGTTCAATAAAATAGGCAAACATCCATTAATATTAACACAGAATAAGAGAGAAGGCACAAACAACTAACATCAGGAATGAAACAGAGGATCTCACCAGAGAACTGGAAGACATCAAAAGGATAATAAAGAAGTACTGTGAACAACTCCACACACCCAAATTTTACAAATTAGATAAAATTGATCAATTCCTTAGAAGCATACACTATCACAACTCACCTATTATAAAACAGATAATCTGAATAGCCTAATAAAGTTAAAGGAAATTGAATGCTAATTAAAAACTTCCCCCAAAAGAAACCTCCAGGTCCATGAGATTGCACTGGAGAATTCCACCAAATGTTTTAAGAAAATTTAACACTAACTCTGAAATCAAGAAATTAAGAAATCAAGAAAAATCTAAAGAAATGGAGAAACATACTGTGTTCATGGAAGACTCAACATAGTAAAGATTGAGACAACCGGGGGGGACGTTTTCAAAACACATACACTCAGATCCCACCCCAGACCTAGAATGTCATAATCCTAGGCATGTATTGTTTAGGGGGGAAAGCCCCACCCTCACCCCAGGTCATTCTGATTTATAGCCTACAATGCCTGCCTTCCAGTCACTCAAAGTTACAGGGCTTAGAGTCCTGTTCTCTGTATGCCCACCAAGTCGCCATCAGGCCACTGCAAAAAAGTCCATCAACCTCCTCCTGGACCTCCCCACCTGCAGCCTCCCCAAGTGACCATGCTGCCCACTGACCACCATGTGAATTTTCTTGAGGTCCAGTTCTGCACCTTCAGCTAATATGAAAGGGATATCCCACATAATCAGATCAACGAATTACATGAAGGGGTTGGCCCTGGTGTCATAAGCTCCCTTCCTCATCCCGACCTCCTCAAACGCTCCCAGAGGGACCCAGGGAAGACCTGTAGGAATGAAAAGTGTCTGTCCTTGCTTCACAGAACACTTGTAGCACTTGTCCACCTGGTCCCCAAAGAACATCTCATCCTGGTTAGAGGAGCTGCTCCAGCACTCAAAGAGAGTCAGGTTGGCATTTGTTGGGCGGATCAGGTAGAAGATCTTCTCACCCTGAAACAAAAAGAGATTGAAGTGCCAGAAATATCACGTGTTTCCAGAAAAATCCTCCAGAGGTTCTCCAAAAGAATCTTCTCTCTCCCATGCTCCAAGAGCATGTAGTATGCCAGAATTCTTTCCCAAATCCATCCACGAATCGTTTTTATGTGGACTTGGAAAACTTCAAAAGGTGCTTTTGCACACTGCATTTTTAAGCTCTATAAGATTGACAAAAATAATTTGGAAAGGGTATTTCAAACAAAATTGTTCAACTTAGCACAAATGTACACCAAAGGCACCTATTTTAGATGCAATGCCAAATGAAAAAGTGGACTCTATAGATGTAAAGATCAATACTACTAGCCCTAGGAGAATTTAAGGCCACATTACCAATGAGGAAAAAATTGAATTTGCCTTTAAATGCCATTTACAGAGAGTGCTCTTTCTCACACCTGCCATCAAAGCTAATAAAAGTTTAAAAGTTCAGTAATCGCCCAAGGACTTCTGGAAGATTTTATGTTATGTGATTATATGTTAAAAGAACATTTTATTTCCTAATTATGTTTTGCCTGAAAAATCACCAGATAGATAATTTGGCACAAAAGAAGCAAAAACCCACTAGCACAAAAATATCCCCAATCCACAGCTTGATTAGTTTAACCATTATTTTATGATAATAAATTTCAATGTAGAAAAGCAACACTAGAAATTATCTATTGTACAACTGGAAAAATTTGAATCAGATTAATACTAATGTAGATTAATAGTATTACATCAATATTAATTTCCTGATTTTGATAACTATACTGTGGTATATAAGACAATGCCTTGTTTTAAAGAAATATACACTGAATTATGAGATAAAGGGACACCATGCCTGCAACTACTCTCAAATGTTTCAGAAAAAAAATATAAAACCATTTTATTATGTTTGCTTTACAGAAAGAGAGAATATAATAAAAAGGTAACATTTGTAGGAATGAGGGAGAAGAAGAAGGGACGAGACAACATAAATTGGTAACTACAATATGGCCTCAGGGATAGAAAAGACAGTCTGGGGACTATAATCAATAACATTGTAAATACTTTTTTGGGGGCAAGATGGACTCATGTCTTGTTAAGGAGACCACTTCATGGACGGTGTAGAGGCCTGACCACTGCACTATACATCTGAAGCTGCCATTCAATAATATTATATGTCAACTATAATTTAATACATATTTAGTCACGGAAGGTGAAGTACAGTGTGGGAATGGAGTCAATGGAATTGTAATAGATATGTATGATATCGGGGGTGGGGGGGCAGTAGATGGGGGGTTGTCACTTTGTGAGGGGTGAGGATAACTATTGCATTGTTTTGTACACCTGAAACTAATAATAATTTTTTTTAAAAGGTAACATTTGGGGAATCTGAGTGAAGGGCACACAGAAATTCTTCCCATTTTTGAAAATCTTCTAATTAATAGAAATAAATTTCTATTTACACAAATAAATTATTTAAAAATAAATAGTTAGGGGCCGGCCGAGTGACTCAGTTGGTTTAGAGTTAGCTTGGGAGTTGGAGCTCCGAGCGGCAGAGCCACCAGTTCGGTTCCCACCATGGACCAGTGACGCTGAGCCCTCTATAGCTAAGATTGTGAACAACAGCTTGACCTGAAGTTTGGCTGCCATGAGTGGCCAGCGATGGCGTAGGTTGCAGCCCCTGCTGCAGTGGGCTGCCATGAGCTACTGTGAGTGGCCGGCAGCGAGCATGAGTGGCCGTCCAATGGCCGGTGACTGACTGCCTCAACCTGGGAAGAGTGCAATGATCATAATACCAACATGGGCCAGTGAAGCGGTGTCCTCCACAACTAGACTGAAGAACCAAAAAAAAAGACAGCAACTTGTCTGTTCCCCTTCCCCGATTTCCCAATAAAATCTTTAAAAAAAAATAATACAAAAGTTAAATCTAACATTTGCATAATAGCACTTTCATTTACACACTCTGATTTCTTCATGATAAACCAATGGAAACAACTATTTCAGGATTGGTGATCATTTGGACAAGAGCCATATTCAAGTTTTCTGCTCTTTCCTTGGCATTTCTGATAAGAAAACTAAATAGTATGAACAATGGTGGAAAGCAATCAAAATTACTTAAGAATTTGTTTTCCAGACCTCAAAACTCCTTTACAGTCATTGACAATCAATATGCTGATTAAACAATTGTTACAACCTCAAAAGGGAAACTATCTATAGGAAGGCTGACATTAAAACAAACTTCTCATATGTTGATCTATCCTGATGGTGGTGGCAGTTATGCAACTATATACAAGTGTCAAACTTATCAAACTATACACTTAAAATGGTTAATTTTATGGTATATAAATTATACCTCAATAAAGCTGGGGGAGGGGAAGTTTCTCATGTTACCAGGAATTTCTGCAGCAAATATGGACATTTCCATACACAATGGTAGGTGTACATATTGGTTCAATTAAGAAGATAACAGGTGGGGGCCGACCGAGTGGCTCAGTTGGTTTAGAACTCTCTCAAGAGTGCGAGCTCTGAGCAACAGGGTCGCCGGTTCGATCCCCGGCCCAAGCTGAGCTGCAGCTGAACTGGGGTCACCGGTTCGATCCCCGGCCCAAGCTGAGCTGCAGCTGAACTGCCAACAGGTGGCAGGATAGCTCAGCTAAAAAAAAAAAAAAAAAAGATAGTCCAAGAAGATAACAGGTGGAGAAAAAACATTTTCTGTTATTCAAAAAAATGTTAAGCATCAAAACTGTAGAGGCATTTTATATGGCATATCACTAAGTGCCCAGCCCTGATAGAGCAGTTATATGAAAATGTTACCCAAATAGAATCCGGGAGGCAGGTAGGCCTCAGCAGCCTGTTTTGTGCTGCCACTTGAAACAAACAAGGAGGTCCAAGGCCTAGCTGCCTCCAGAAGCCATACCCATTCCTACCTTGAGCACATGGTACCAGACCGAGGTGCCGCCAAAGTCAATGTGAAAGTCTGTATAGCTATCCCGCACGCTCATGAGGCAGTACTTCTGCACATTGGGCCTCTCAAAGATACACTCCTCCGGCCACAAATTCTCCACCCATGAGAGCTTCCGAACAATCTTGGGTGTCTCCACAAGATTAGAAAGCCTAGCAAGGGATGAAGAGCCAATGTCAGCTGCTTGGGAACTGTGGTTCAAGTCTGAATAAAATGCCCCCCATCCCAGTGAGAGTCACATAAGACAAAGCTGTTCCTCCACAGAATCCCCAAGGGCACATAGGACATTTATTTCTGTAAGTCCGGTCAGCATCATCATTCCACTCAGCTCTAGAAGTCCCAAGTCCCAGCACCCCAGTCAAAGGTGATCATTTCCTCTTCTAAATGCTCATACTCCCCCAATCAGGGCCCACTCACTTGGCACTTGGTTAATAACAGTTATTGTATTGTCTCCATCTCATAGTGTGTTCTTTACGGGGAACCATCAGAGAAATCTCTCCAGGCTCAGTTCCAGGTAAAGATGTGTTTCTCCTAAACATCTAGTTGTTTTTATCCTATGTGAAACCACAAATCCTGTAATACTGTATTCCCTTCTTTGTTCTGACCTTCAGGAAATTCAGTGAAAACTCTACAGCCCTTCTCCACCAACTATCCAGACATTCATACATACATTTTGTGTGCAGATTACCAACCAGATGTAGCCTATTTTCCCACCTTTATTATCCTTTTATTCTAATTTTCTCTTTTTTCCCCCTCTCTGCATCTCTGTAAGCTACTGCAAATAGTCTTTCAAGATGAAGTGAGGTATAAACAAACATAGTTTTTAAAAACACCTTCAGGTTGTTTACTTTGCATGTTAAACCCTACAGCAAGGGTTGCAATATTGTACTATAGTTATTGTAAGATGTTGCCATTGAGGGAAACTGGCTGAAGGATACACAGGACTTCCCTGTACATTTTCTGCAATTTCCTGTGAATGTATAATTATGTCAAAATTAAAAATTAAAGAAGTAAACAATTAGACAGTAAGCTTCCTAAGTGCAAAAGGATATGTTATGATTTTTTGGAATCTCCCATGGTTCTGAGCACAGAGAAGACTACATATATCTATTGAGTGCATGGGCCGAGACAGAATCATTGAAAGGTTATAAAAGCTTTTTTCTTTTTTTAAATATAAGAAACCTTATCCTTAGAGAAACTACTTGGGGTTAATTTTAGTAAATGTATTTCCAGGAAGAGAGAACCTATCTTGGGAGTTAAACAAGTGACCATGCCACATTCTGAATACCAGGCAAAGGTCTAAGAAAGCTGTTCTAGTCTTGAAGGAGATAAAAATTAATTAAAATTGCTAATGTATAATCAATCTATCCAATGCTAGAAACTGTAGAGGAAAAATATGATTTGGTTGTTATAATGTGAGCAGTTACCCTAGAGAAAAGTATAAACCAGCTCCCCACCCCAAAGAAAGAAACCACCAGGAGGAAGGGAAAGTAACACTAACATATCCTCAGTTTATCACAAGTTCCAGGCATTTGTCAGACTTTTTACTCACCCCTGCCCCTCCTACCTGGTATCGGAGAATTCCAAACTAATGACATTGAGGACTTTCTCTCTCTTCCCGCTGTAATAATATTTCACAAAATCACCGAGTTTCATTTTGCAGTCAGCCTGGCGGGTCACATCAATCACATCAATCTCTTTGTCAGAACCTGGAGTAAAGAGACGGGTTCTGTACCAAGATGTCTCAGGGACTGGGGAAGAGTCTCTCATCCCCTCACCAGTCCTTAGAACGGTTTTACACTCAAAACCTCTCTCCTCACACTGTATTTGTATGTGCATGCTTGGGAGGTGGGGAAAGAATCCCTCACACTCTCCTTTGACCTATGTGCCAGGTCCAGGCCTGCTAGGGCAACAGAATTGCCTGACACACAGCCTCACTCACAGTACAGTCCACCTGCCTGGGCCCTGCTTCCTCACTTCTTCTCTTCCTAGCCCCCAAAAGACAATTGGCATGTGAGGGCAAAAGCCAAAGGCTTTCTCATCTCAACAGAGGACAGAGAGACCACCATGATCTCTGGAATTCCCAGGTAAAAAATAGGGCTCAGCCTGGGGTTTTATGGTCTATTAGGGAAAAAAAAGGTAGAGAAGACCAGGATTTTGGTTCTAGCTTTGCGAAAGAATGACTCTGGGCAAGGCACTTCATCTCATATTCTCAAGATGACTAGATAAAGAAAATGCAAAAGGTAGACTGGAGGGAAAGGGTCACAGGTCCTGATGGTAGTAACCAATATCACAGTTAAGAGGGTTTGTGTTCCTTACCAACATAATGCTCCACATCCCTCACAGTGAATGATGGTGAGGGTAGTGTCATCCCCAATCCATCCTTCTTCAAGACTAGGATGGGCACACTGAAGCTATTCTCTTCCAGGAATTCCACAGTCAGTTGACTTCCAGTGGGCTTCAGAATCACTTCATCTGAGCTGTAGACCACATGAGAGAAAGCCTGAGGCCCAGAGGCCCTGCCACTGAACGCCTCAGTGGATGCTGCCACTCACCCAAGTGTAGGGGTCTTCCTGAGGGGACCTAAGGTGGGCTGGCATAAGCTCTAATGGCATAAACTCCATGTACCAGGGAAGAAAGGACCTATACAAGGCAATAAGCCAGGTCACTGGAATAGGTAGGAAGCTTAACCTAGGGCATCCCATCAATAGGGTGCTCTGCTCCAGATGACAAAGGAAGAAATCAGTCAACAGCCTGCCCAGGAAGAAAAGAAATATCTGATAAGTTTAGCTGATTTACTCTAACCCAGGGAGGAATTGCCCCATTTAAAATATTGGCAAATATTTTTTGATTGGACTTTTTTTTTTTTTGTTGTTGAGTTGTATGAGTTCCTTATATAGTTTGGAGATTAGCCCCTTATTGGAGGCATTGTTTGCAAATATCTTCTGCCATTCGGTTGGTTGCCTCTTTATTTTGTCAATGGTTTCTTTTGCTGTGCAGAAGCTTTTTAGTTTGATATAGCCCAATCCTTTACTTTAGCTTTTATTTCCCTTGCCTTTGAGGTCAAATTCATACGGTTATCTTTGAACCCTGAATAGACATTTCTCCAAAGGGGACATACAGATGGCCAACAGACATATGAAAAGATGGTCAACATAACTAATCATTAGAGAAATGCAAATAAAAACCACAATGAAATATCACCTCACACCTGATAGAATGGCTATCATCAACAAGACAAATAATAATAAGTGTTAAAGACGCTGTGGAGAAAAAGGAACCCTCATACATTGTTGGTGGGAATGCATATTGGTGCAGGCAGTGTGGAGGTTCCTCAAAAAATTAAGAATAAAATTACCGGGACGGCTGGTTAGCTCAGTTTTTTAGAGCACAGAGCTCATAACACCAAGGTTGTCAGCTCAATCCCCACATGGGCCACTGAGATGCACCCTCCACAAGTAGACTGAAACAACTACTCAACTTGGAGCTGATGGGTCCTGGAAAAACACACTGTTTCCCAATAAAAAAAATCTATTAAAAATATAGAATTAACATATGACCCAGCAACCCCTCTTCTAAGTATCTACCCAAAAAAGTCTGAAAACATTTATCCATAAAGACATATGAGTATGTGCTCCGATGTTCACTGCAGCATATTTACAGTGGCTAAGACATGGAAACAACCAAAGTGTCCTTCGATAGACGACTGGATAAAGAAGATGTGGTATACACAATGGAATACTACTCTGCCGTAAGAAAAGATGAAATAGTGCCATTTGCAACAAAATGGATGGATCTAGAGATTATTATGCTAAGCAAAATAAGTCAGACAGAAAAAGTCGAGAACCATATGATTTCACTGAAATGCGGGATAAAAACTGAAAGCAACAAAAGAACAAGACAAAGAAACAAAAACTCATAGACACAGACATTAGTTTAGTGGTTACCAGAGGGTAAGGAGGGAGAGGTGATAGATGAGGGTAAAAAGGGTCAAATATATGGTGATGGAAGAACTGACTGGGTGGCAAACACACAATGTGATATACAGATGATTACAGAATTGTACACTTGAAACCTATGTAATTTTACTAACCATTGTCGCTCCAATAAATTTTAATTAAAATATTCAAAAAAAAATATTGGCTAATACAAAGAAAAGAGTGATAAAAAAATGACAGCAATTTTTACAACCACTTTCTCAACATGTGTACTTAGTTAACTACAAAACCGGAGTTTTGGGGTTTTTGTTTTGTTTTTTAAATCACGCTGGAGAAAAGATAGACTACTTAACAAGTTGTGTGGGGATAAACATCTGGAAAAATATCTATTCACTCTTTACATAACTCTAGACAGATCAAATATTAAATTGTAAAAAATAAAGCCACAGAGTAGTAGAAAAAATATGGGAGAGACAAGGCTCAGTATTCATTAAAAATAGTAATAAGGGGCCGGCCGAGTGGCACGTTGGTTGAGTTGGCTTGGGATGCCAGCTCTGAGCAGCAGGGCCCCAGTTGGGATCCCACATGAGAGCCAGTGATGCTGCGCCCTCTACAGCTAATATGGTGAACAACAGCTCGACCTGGAGCTAGGCTGCCGTAAGTCGCCGGTGGCGGCGTAGGCTGCAGTGGAGCTGCAGTGGTCTGCCATGAGCTACCGTGAGCGGCCGTCCAGTGGCTGGCGACAGATCCGCCTCACCCTGGAAGAGCACAATGATAATACCAACATGGGCCAGTGAAGCAACGTCCTCCACAACTAGACAGAAGAACAAAAGGACAGCAACTTGTCTGTTCCCCTTCCCAGATTCCCCAGTGCGTTCCCCTCCTCCAATACCCCAATAAAATCTTTAAAAAAATAGTAATAAACACATTGTCTAGTGGGAATGTGAAATGGTATATCCATTTTGGTATAATTTGGCAATATTTATAAACATTTTTAAAGCACATATTCTTTGACCTAGCAATTTCACTTTTAGGTCGTAAATCTACACATATACTCACCTACATATGCAAAAACTTAAGTAAAAAGACATTCACTGAAGGGTTTTTTCTAATAGCAAAATACTAGAATTGATTTAAATGTTTGTCAGTAGAGGACTGGTTAATTATATAGTCATACAGGGCCGGCTGAGTGGCTCAGTTGGTTAAGAGCTCGCTCAAGAGTTTGAGCTCTGAGCAACAGCGGTTCGAGTCAGCCCGAGCTGAGCAGCCGCTGAGCTGCCAACAGGTGGCAGGATGGCTCAGCTAAAAAAAAAAAATTATATAGTCATACAATGAAATACTACTCATCCATGAAAAAGAAAGAAGAACTTTTGTATGTGGTGCTACGGATTGATCTCCAAGATATATAATTCAGGTTTAAAAAAAAAGGAAGATGAAGAATAATATAGTGTGTTTCTATTTGTATTTTTTAAAAAACAGTGATACACACACACAAGACACATGTGCTTGTATAAGCAATAATTATTTCTGAAAGAATGCACAAGAAATTGTTTGACTTTGGAGAAGAGACCTGACAGGTTTGAGGTAGAAGGGAGACTCATTGTCTTTAAATAAACAAATAAAACAAAAAAATATTAAGCTGAAGAAACATTTATAATTCTAAACAACACTTCAATTATAGGAAAGCTGAAAATGATCAAATGAATTAAAAACTAAGCAAAAGAGAGTGCTTCATTCATTAATTTTTCTAACTTATTATTTTTGCTCAATTGAAGTAATTTATTTTAATAAGCCATCTTAATTTTTTAAAAGAAAACTATTTTTCTTGATTGCAAAAGAAATACATGCCCACTCAAATTTTTTTTATTGCTAAAAATGAGTTTCCTCTTCTCTACATTGAGACAATTAAACTTTCTGATCTTTAAGACTTCTTCTAGTTGTAGCAATCCTTGGGTGCATGTAAATATTCTCACCTGACTTAGAAGAAAACTACCTCCCAATGTACCAAAAGTTTCCACAAGTGGACCTTAATGTACTCTGCACATCAAATGAACTCTAGCAATGTTTCTCAAAAACTGATTAAAACAGAAGATCCCTCCCCAGAGGGAATTTGCAGAGTGCTGCAGACACCCCCAAATGGGGGAAGCATCTAATGGGACAGCCAGTGGGAAAGCTAGGAAGATATGGTCCCAGCTTCCTAGAACCCTGGAATAGGGGTAACTCACCTGTCAAAGGTCCTACTCCGGAGCTCTCGAATGAATGTAGGGCTTCCAGTCTTCACTGGCTTCCCCTTGTGTGTATCATGCCCTTTTGAAGATACACGGCGTTTTTTCACTAAGCCAGAAAAAGACAGGAGACCGTAAGTCAGAATGGCCACAAGCTATGGTTCCAAGACAAAGGCCTCAGTAAAACCTGCTTCTCTTCCAATCTAATAGGCCCTTGGAGCATGTGGGGTCAATGAGGCCCTCACAGATTCAGGAAAGTTCCTGGTGAGGACAGGTTCCTCCTTTGGGGAATACACCTAGGAAGGGAGGGAGGTGACGCTCTGCACTTCTGCCCTCTCAGTGGGGCAGCTGCTGGCGTGCGGGGCCTACATAGGCTTCTGCAATTTCCCAAGGGAGATGAATCTCAAGCAATCTTCCTTTCACACTTCCTTTGCTTTGTCTCTCTTCTGGCCCATCTTTCCTTAGAAACCTTAAGATGTACTTACTAATGGAGGGCCCATGTAAGACCTCACAGTTGGGGCAATGGTAGAGGTCAATATCAGCAGCCTTCTCCTCTTCAACACCAACACAACTAGAAAAGAGAAAAACAGCTGAGGTTTATGGAAATTTTATTTTTCATAAGGTCCAGAACTGTACTGTCCTGTATACATGGCTATTTACATTTAAATTAATTCAAATTAAGTAAAATTTTAAATGCAGTTCCTCTATCACACTAGCTACATTTGAAGTACTCACTAGCCACATGTGGCTAGACGTTATCATACTGGGCAGATTATCAAACATTTTCATCCATGCAAAAAGTTCTACTGGACCACACTGGTCTAAAAAAACTTATGACAGAGTTAAAAATGTACAGACAGTAAAACTTCATTAAGACTCAAAATGGTCAAAGCTTAAAGAGGCTTTAGGGCAGTGTTGACCAACAGAAATATAATGTGAGTCAAATAGGTAATTTTATATATTTATTTTTTAAAGATTTTATTGGGAAATTGGGGGATGAGAACACTGCTGGGGAATCAGGGAAGGGGAACAGACAAGTTGCCGTCCTTTTGTTCTTCAGTCTAGTTGTGGAGGACGTCACCTCACTGGCCCATGTTGGTGCCATCATTGAACTCTTCCCAGGTGAGGCAGTCGCTTGCCAGCCATTGGACAGCTGCTCACGGTGGCTCATGGCAGCTCAAGAAAGTGCACGCCAGCTGCCAGCCAGCCCCACTGCAGCAGGGCCTGCAGCCTACGCCATCACCGGTGACTCATGGAAGCCCAGCACCAGATCAAGCTGTTGTTCACCATCTTAGCTGTAGAAGGCACAGCGTCACTGGCCCTTATGTGGGATCCGAACCGGGGCTCTGCTACTCAGAGCTGGCGTCCCAAGCCAACTCCTAACCAACGCACCACTCGGCCAGCCCCCAAATAAGTAATTTTAAATGTTCTAGGGCCGGCCGAGTGGCACGTTGGTTAAGAGCTGGTTTGGGACGCCAGAGGGCCCAGGTTCGGATCCCACCTATGAGGGCCAGTGACACTGCCCTCTACAGCTAAGATGCTGAACAACAGCTCAACTTGGAGCTGGGCTGCCATGAGTTGCC